AGCTCCTCGCGCGGGTCGCGATGCCTCGAGGCTCCTCCGGGCTGCAAATCCCTCCGCGGCAGCAGTTTGTTCACCCCTCAGTGTGAAAAGGAAGGGGGGTTTAGGGGCGACGCTTTCTCTCCGGCTAAAAGTCGCTCTGTGGTTACGTTTCAGGTTATATTTCGCCCGTCTTTCCTGCTGTTTCACCTATCTGCGGTTAACTTTTCCTTTAAGGAGCCCTTAGTTGCTCATAGGAACTCTCGGGCCTTTGATACTGGTAGAGCTTTGTCCATTTTTTCACGTGCTAATGTCTACTTGGCCCTCGAGGTTTAAGTTAGGCAATGATATAATGGGAGCCCACGGGAGTGGTGCGAGCGTTTTTCATGGTCAAGGGAAGGAGGGCAACTTATTTTTGTCAGTATTTAGGCAAATAGAAATCTCTGATGGCATTTTTGGACCACGTTGATTGTGGTTTGTAAAAGAGCATTGAAATCCATGGCAGCTGTTTTGGTTATTTGAGCGCAATGCAAGCAGCTGAAAAGATGAAAAAATATATTAATTACTCCAAAAGAAGCTAAGAGAGCATTTGAATACAAAAAATAATAATACTAGAGCAACTTAATTGAAGTAAGTGTATTTGGGACTGGATGTAAAGGTGTGTGTCGGCAATCCTACCTCTTTCATAAAATTTGTAATTGCCAAAGCTGCTGTAAATATGTAGAATTTTTCTAAATACGCTGCAAGTGGGAGATAGATTTGACTTTGCTGGATGGAAGCTGAATACATATAATTAATGAAGGTCATCCAAAACTTAACCACCAGTGTGAAATAAATTGTTATAGGTATATAACGTGTCTGCGTGGCAAGCAGGGCAGGTCTCTACAGCAAATCAGTCAGCTGTGAGGACCAGGTATCAGTGCTGCACATGTTTCAGAGACTTCTTTAGAGTAACTTTAATTTAAGTTCTTGCCCGAGCCCTCATGCATTGAGATGTGCTCTGGAAGCGAGTCCCTGTGTCCCTATTTGGTACAGGCACAGCGAATCTACGAAGTGTTCCCTGGCATCCTTCAGTGATAAAAGCGGAGCACAGTAAGTGGAGATAATTAGGAGATTCCCCTCTAAAGCACTGCTGCTCTGCTCTGACACTAATGCAGGTGTTTGTGTGTATTGCAGTGATTGGTGGTTTGTCATGTTGATTGGGAGGAGGAGCAGGGAGTGCTTTAGGAGGAGCTGAGGTAGGATCTTGTGCTCCAAGAGTGCATGGAAGAAGGAGTTGGGGATTTGGGGGCATCATCCCTGTGCTGTAGAAAGAGAGATGATACTCTGGGTCTGGCTGCAGACCCCTGTTTCTTACACTTAAATTCTCATCTTTAAGGACGACTGTCTTAAACCATATGGCTGCAATCAAGTTCTCTCCCACCTCTGTTTGTTTGCCCTTCGCTGACATTAGTTCATGCATTTCTTTGAATCACCAGCTCAGTTTATAATCTCTCCACACCCTCTGGGACTTCCCCGTGTCTGTCACTTCAGGGATGTCTCGACTTCCTCCAGTGGGATTTCTGTGTGTTTTTAGGCCAACTGTTAATTACCAATACTGTGTTTAGAAAGTATATAACAGTGTGGAGGGCAGACTGCAAGTAGTGCTTGCCCCTTTTTATCAGAGTATTTCTTTCATCATTGAGAAAGGAGTAAATTGAGCAGCGTTTTCAATTCTGCCTCATAGACTTTCTTTCTATGAGGCAATTTCTGCCTCATAGCCGAGCAGCGTTTTCAATTCTGCCTCATAGCCTTTCTTAAGGATTTCCTTTGGAGTCAGCCTGTGGTTTTTATTTCTTCTCAGCAACATTGAAAGCAGGCTGGTTTGAACAGCACTCCATGGCCTTTTTATTGCACGAGGGAGTGTTTAGTAGCTTGGTTTCACTAGCTGGAAACAGGAGTCCATGCGAGCAGCTCTCTGCTCCACGTAGGCAGCTCCCTGCAGCCGAAGCATCGAGTTGGTCCAGGCCCCTCTCCTCCTACACACTAAAACACACCCATTCGTGTAGTGTAAACCACTTGCAAAGGGAAATGACTCACTGAAACTCTGCTCCTTGGGTGGAAGGAGTTAACTCATCTGTACAGCTCTCTGGAACTGCAGGGGTGTAACCTGTGAGGTGCCTAGCAGGGCTGCTTTCTCAGCTGTTTCAACTTGTTGCATCTGCAGCATGACTAATATCCATCCCTGCAGCCCTTTAAATGAAAAGGGAGATAATGAAGTACAAAGTAGCTAGTTCTTACCATGGACTTAAAAAAAAAACACTTTACAGATCGTTAGAGCTTCATTGATTTTTTTTTTTGGCGGGGGGGGGAAGGCTTGGTGAAGGGAGGCTTTCTCTTTCCTCATCTCCGGTTTAATCTCCTTTTTATAGCTTTGGAAAAGTACTGTGTTAACAAATCAACAAGCCCAAATTTATTTTTAAAAGTTAAACTGCGAGTAACAGCCGCCTGTTTGTTGCTTTGAATTCCAAAATAATGAGCCACTGCTATTTAGAAGTATTCCCTTTTGCCTTGTAACTAATTCATTTCTGCAATGTTCCTGGCAGGATTAGTGGCTATGATCTGTCTTATCTGTCTTTTACTGAGATAGTTTCCACTGCAGCACAGAATCCTTGAGCTTCTTTTGTTCTAACAGTTTGTGTTACTGAATTCGTTACTCAGGATACTTGCACGGGAAAAATAACGTGACTCTTCCCTCGGAAGGATGTAGCGAAATGCAAACTCTTGTTTCAGGAGTGCAGGATCTTGTGGCTGACATGTGACGTTGGATCAGCCAGTAAACCTCATTAGTGTATCCAGACAATTGTTTCATACTGACAGGATGACGGTTGTGGAGGTTTATGATTCCCTATGCAACATTTATTAAAGCTTACGCTGTTGTGTGTTGATGATGCTTTCCAGCAAATCTATATTGTGCTATTTAGGTAGCATATAAAATGCCACAGGGCAGGCATCTTAAAAAATCGTTCAAGATGGGATATAGTGCCCTGAACAGATCCCTGCAGCAGTGGTTAAAATGTAGGGGAGTCTGTGTCAGCATTCCTGGAACTTGGCACTGCAGGGATGGGTCCATTTTTTGAAAACAATATTAAAAAAGAGGTGCAAAGAGCATCCTATTTCAGAGCAAAAGTACCCTCTGATTTGTAGCTGGTGTGTTATGTGTTGAAAAGGTGTGGTTTGCCAAGCAGATGGTGTTTTAAGCACCTGCTTAATAAATAATTGTAGGCAAATGTGCTTCAGGTGGGATAAGGAAGTTTGTCATTAGTGTAATGGGACCCTAGCACCCTTGTATTAAAGATAAAATGGAGAAACATTTGGGCTGCCTAAACAGGGAGTGGTAAGATGCACATGGTAGTCTTCAGGCTGATACAAATTGCTTAGACCGACTTCAGCCAACCAAATAAATCAGTCTAAGCCCAGGTTATGAACCAAAAGAAGTGTCAGCACCTGCCCTTCCCCCTGCTCCCTAAAAAAGCAGAGGCCTTTGCTTGTTAGGCAGATACTAAACGTTTCTAGGCACCTAGGCAGTGTCCATGCACCACAGTCTTAATTATCTGACTCCTTGGTTTTGTAATTTTACTTGCAAGTTCTAGAATCAGTCTCCTGGACACCTCCGTCCTGCTCTTCCAGTACCGTTGACAAGTGTGTCTTTTAGCTGAGAAGTACACTGCAATGAATGTGGCATTGGAAACAAAGCTAGGATTCAGCACTTGAGCTCTGAGCTTATTTTGTTTTTGCTTTTAGGGCTGCTTTTCATTGCCAGTATAGCTAAAAATAGTTGAAGTGCATAAAACTGTTGAGATATATTAGTGACAATTTTCAGTTGACACATCTATCCATTTTTCTCTGCATGGAGTTGTGAAGACTGTAGCAGAAGGCTCTAGAATACATGCAGTAACACCTAAGATACAGAAAACTTGATCATATACCAGGCAATTTCTTACTCTCTTTTTTTTTCCATCCTTCTTCCTCTATCTGTCTCTCTCTGTTTTTATTATTATTTTTTATTAAAAGTGTTCTTTGTGCAGTTGACAAGGAAGCTGGGTACAGCCCAGCAGTTGTTACTTTCTGTGTTTTTGTGCTAGTTGCCCATCTTTACTGAAAACAGCTAAAATTTTACCAGCAATCATCCCTACCTATTTAAGGAGATCGTACTGTTAGTGATGACCCTGAACTGGAATTCTTCTTTCTGACCCATTGTTTCTTACGTTTTTTTCTCCTTCTTTTTGCCTGTAGGTTACATTTCAGGGGTTCCTCATTTGTCTTCAGCACCGCAGCTCAGCAGAGAAGTACAGGAGATGAATGTGGCCCAGAAGATCCCCATGATGAGGCGAAGCATCCTCTTTCTGAACGAGCCTTAGAGCACAAGGCTATCAAATTGGAAGAACAAGTCCGTGATTTAACCGTGAGTGTGCTCCTGGTGGCATTGCTCTGGCTTAATATGGGAGAATTCTCCTTAATATAGGAGAATTGATCTTTGATCATAAGGCTCTTCTGCAAGTGCTGTAACACACGCCCAGCACCACTGCACTGTGGCACTGTGCTCTAACTGTGAGAGGGTGTGCAGAAAAGAAGTACATTCTGTTTTCCCCAGAAATACCATCTGTCATAGTTCCTAGGAGCAAAACCCTGGCAATCTGATCCTGGAAGGCAAAACTTATGCTTGAGATGGTCTGGTCCAATCTTTCACATCATTGTGCAGGGAGAATGGCAGCAGTTTTGTCCTAATTAATATCACATACTGTGTCCTACTAGATCCAGATAGTCTGAGAAGGGAAATCAGCTTTAGCTGTGGTGGTGTGGTAGAAATGGTGGGAATTGTTTTATAGGGACTTTCAAGAACAGATTTAACTACAGAGCGGATTAAATATCGCAGCATTAGACAGTTCTGGAAATAATTGCCCTGGGAGTAATGAGATCTGCTGCACCAAGAGATAAATCAGCTGATTGCAGATCTGTTGCTAAGACTGCCAATTCTCCTGCTAGAGAAAGGAGCATCTCAATAGCTGCAGAGTGAGTCATGCCAAAAGCAGCAGCCTGACAAGGCAGCTCAGCCGAGCTGTGTCCTGTCTGCTTCTGGCCTTGGGCCCTTTGAGGCAGTTACATTTGTGCCGATTAATCAGTAAGGAAAGGATCTTGGGTTGCCCTGTTTTAGTGAGAGCTCAGGAGCCCAGCACAATTGTCTTACATGAAACGAGTTATCTTTTAAATAGTTTCTAAGGGATTGCAAATTTGACAAGACACCAGTTTTCCTTCCTTGTCTGATACCTCCTCTTACGCTTACAGGAGCGATACCGGAAAGCTTTGGCAGATTCTGAGAATGTCCGGAGGAGAACACAGAAATTTGTGGAAGATGCCAAACTCTTTGGTAAGCAGAGTGAGGCAGAGCTGTGTTTACTGCTGTGCCCTGCCTGCCTGAGCATAAAACGCTGATCAACAGCTTTTCTCTCTGCATTCTCCTGCCCTTGTTCAGCGTAAGGTCTGGCGTAATGTTTGGCCTGGACTGGGCTTACTAGCTATTTTTTTCTGTATGTCCATTGATGTCATTTTAGGTTTGTCGGGCCCTTTGAGGCAGTTACATTTGTGCGGATTAATCAGCAAGGAAAGGATCTTGGGTTGCCCTGTTCTAGTGAGAGCTCAGGAGCCCAGAACAATTGTCTTACATGAAATGCATTCTCTTTTAAATAGTTTCTAAGGGATTGCAAATTTGACAAGACACCAGTTTTCCTTCCTTGTCTGATACCTCCTCTTACGCTTACAGGAGCGATACCGGAAAGCTTTGGCAGATTCTGAGAATGTCCGGAGGAGAACACAGAAATTTGTGGAAGATGCCAAACTCTTTGGTAAGCAAAGTGAGGCAGAGATGTGTTTACTGCTGTGCCCTGCCTGCCTGAGCATAAAACGCTGATCAACAGCTTTTCTCTCTGCATTCTCCTGCCCTTGTTCAGCGTAAGGTCTGGCGTAATGTTTGGCCTGGACTGGGCTTACTAGCTATTTTTTTCTGTATGTCCATTGATGCCACTTTAGGTTTGTCTCAGTGACTGTTTTGTCTATTTTTTTTTGACTCTTTTACTAAAATAGGTCTGGTGCAGTTGAGTGTAGTTCTAGTGACTTAACTGAAATCACAGTGTCTTTGTACACTGAGAATTTGCACTTGGAGAGTATGTTCTGTACTCTCAGCCATGTTATCGGGTTGTGATCTCCTTTACTGTGTTAAGAGCCTCTCCTCTTTTACTCTAGTTTTTGTGGAATAGTTGTTGCTTGGGACAAAGGTTTTCAGTTTCTGCATCAAATGTTCTTTAACATAATAAATGTTTTGGTATGGATAAATTGGGATGCATTTGTCACTTTAACAACCAGGGTACTAAACAGACAAAGAGGGAAAAAGCTGCAGTTTAATCATTGCACTCTGCCAGTACTATTTCTGAGAAGGAGAAACCTTTATTCTCCATAATGCGTTAATCAGAGTTTTTGTTAGCTAATTCCAGTAGCCTCAAGTTAGAGCTGCTGTATTTTTTCTTTCTGTTCAATCCACTGTGCTATAAAATAGCTGTTGAGGTTGTCCTAGATGACCTGCCTTGCTCGTTTTGTTTTTCTGATCTGTTTGGCTTTTTTATATGCAATGTGCTTTAGATCTCACGGAAAATGAGGTTCTTTATTAGAAACTGCACATGGGGCAAAGCATGAGGGTCTGTAGAGCATTAAAACACTGGAGCTTCTGGCTGCTGCTGTGTAACTTTTATCCTTCATGCTTTTTTTCCTTCTATGCGTGTTTAAACTTGTATATGTAAGTGTAGACAGCACCAAGTTATGGTTTCTCTTTCCCCCTCATTTGTTTTTTTTTTTTTTTTTCCATAAGTTAGGCAAGCTATCTGTGTGATTGAGAGAGGTTGTTTTTCGGGAAATGATAGGAACCTGAATCCAAAATATTAGACTTTGTTTTCTAATAAAAAGACTGCATAACTTGAGAATAAGCAGCCCAAGGACCACTTTGTCCAGTCCTTCTACAGCAGTTTTAACCTGTGAATAAATTTGTGGATATATTTTCAAATGGTTTCATGTTACTTTTGATTCCCCTCTGTATTTTGTTTTCTGTGTGCATGAACATTGATGTGAGTTGTTTGGCAAAGGTTTATCTCTTTATGAGAGGGTGTTCTAAATCACAAGTTGTAGTCACAAGAACTTCTTGAATTGAAATACCAATAATCTTACTCTGTTTTAAGTGTTTTCGGGTAGACTATATAATTTCTGTTCTTTACAGATGTGCCTTTCTTGCATATACTTTGATTCGGGGAGTCTCTAGGACATTGCACATATAATGCTAAGGCTTTGACTATAGGAGACATAAACACTATCCATTCTTGCTGAAGCTAATTAACAGCTTTCAAGATGTTTTCAAACTTCCATGGCTTTGTGCCTGTACTGCAGCTCTTTATGTTTTGTAGTTAAACTAACCTTTCTTTATTGCTTCTTTGTGCCTGTAGGGATCCAGAGTTTCTGCAGGGACCTTGTGGAGGTAGCAGATATCTTGGAGAAGACTGCTGAGAGTGCTGCAGGGGAAGCAGAGCCCAGTAATCCCAACCCAACCTTAAAGAAAATCTACGAAGGCCTCTCTCTCATCGAGGCCAAGCTGCAAAGCGTGTTTGCCAAGCACGGCCTCCAGAAGATGAACCCCGTTGGTGGCAAATACGATCCGTACGACCACGAAATAGTCTGCCACGTGCCAGCAGAGGGGATGCAGCCGGGCACGATAGCGCTGGTGACTCAGGATGGCTACAAACTGCATGGGCGCACGATCAGACACGCACTCGTCGGGGTGGCAGTGGAGTCACACGAGTGACCGTGACCCACTGGCATGTGGGACCCTAATGAGCTGAGGACCCTTTGGCCCTCAGTGACAACTGCAGCTGCATGTCTTTATTTATTAACCTAGATTTGTGTTGTATGTTGGCTTCTTTACAATGTGTGCAGTTATTTTGCCATTGATTCGAAGGTACTTGTATATTTAATGTTCCTTTTTGGAGTATGTGGAGTAGCAGAAGTCCAGCTTTTCTGTCATAAACAGTGGCACTGTTGTCCCCTTCTCTGTTGCTGGTTTCAAGTCTCCATTAAAAATTTATGGGGAAGCAGGGGGGATATGAGAGAGAGAAATTATTGGAGAAGTAGGGAATCTTCTCTCCTAATTCTGTCTGAGACAGACTCCTCCTGTGGCCTTTAGGCAAGTAACTTCTCTGCCTCAGTTTCCCTATGTGTATTAAGGGACTATACTAATACTTATCGACCTACCTCACAGGGATATGGTGAGGCTTTTTCTTTGCAAGGCACTTGGGTGAGGAAAAGCTCAAAGTGCCAAGTATTATCAGGCTGGTTTTGGTGTCTTCCCTTGTCCCCAGATCCCTCAGGTAGGGATGGAGAGGATCGCTTGAAACATCATGTAGAGCCACATTTTTCTTTTTGCTTTTCAGGGAAACAGTCCTGAATTAATGACACCTGCTTTGTACTGTAGATGAATATGGATGAGGTTTTAAAGAGAATGCAGTTGTCATGGTCATGTCAAACTTTAATGTGTTCATATTTGTTCTCTGGGTGAAATATCAGCTGCTTTTTGCAGGATAAAATAGGGGGTGGTCCTTGATGGAGCATCTAAAGCCATTCTCAAATCTCTCCCTAACAAAAACAAAGTAGATGTTGGAGGACAGCTGTATCTCTTCCTTGATCAATATTTGTGCAGCCTCCAAGTATGATAAACCGTTTAGTCTTTAATGCTGCTGGCAGGATGAGATATGCCCTTAATTAAGAAATCTAGCTCTATTTTCTCAAGTTCTCCAATTATAGTATTCAAATAACACTAGCTTCCAGTTCACATTCAGGTTCTACTTTTGTCTGGTTGTGGTAAATACTTTTTTGAAGAAAGGAAGGAAAGAAATCTTTTCTACTAAAAGTCTCAAGTGTCCTTGAACCAATTTTAGCAACAACGACAAGAAAGCAAAGAGAAACAGAAGGCTGTGAAAGTGAAAGCTGACCTGAAGCCATCTCCCTCCTTGGAGACACGCTGTTGTCACAGTCTGGCATATGCAGTTCCCAGTGGTTCTCTTGCCTGGGAGTCTGTTTCTCTAAACTGAAAGGATTCAGACCTCAGACTGAAGGCAGAATTTAACCCTTTGGAGAGTAATGAGCAGCACTGTCACGGAATAATTGTACAAGGCTGACGATGCCTGCATTACACAAAATCAAGGCCCCAAATAATGGTTGTGTTTTCAGGTTGCTTGTTCCTGATTCATTAGTTCTTGCCTTTTTACTTCCTAGAAGCGAATCTTTAGCCTGGCAGCTATCTGAGATTTGCTTCCAAACCCTCTTTCTTTGTGGTGGCTGCCTTCAGTGATTTGGAAGGAATCTTATTCTTCATCTGTTCCTTTACAGCTTTCAGTAGCATAATCCTTACAATGGACCTCAAGCATGCAGCAGCCTTCAGCTATCAGCTATGAACAATCCTTCATGTGGAGAGATTTGGTAGAACATATGCAGCCTCTTGATTGTCATTCCAGGATTTTAGGAGAAAAAAAGTGGACATTTCTCTTCTCTTTTGCTTGACACAAGTGGCAACTGTACATGGGTGACAAGGAGCACCTTGCATTCTGATGATGCTTTTTTGAAGCATGGTTTTGTGCCTCGGAGTAGGTAGGTTTTCAGGCAGGTACCTGAAACTTCAGCTCTGGAACAGTGCTTCATGGCAGCATGAGATCACTTTGAGCACGTCTCCAGTTCAGTGCTCTTGTTTATCACATTTTTGGCAATTTTAGAGACATACTGGACTTCCTGTTCTTTTCCTTTTTGGGTGGTCATGCATGGTGACTGGGTAGCCAGATGATGTCTGCTCGAGACAGAATAGGTACGATATGAAAAGTGGCAGGAAAACCTTGTCCTGCTGCTTCAGGACTGTGCAGCCTTTTCTGAGGAAACTGCATCTCGGTCTGGAAAGAGCAATTACCTTCTCTTCTGCCCCTTCCATCCCTGATTTATCAGCTGAGTCTTTGTGAGGATATAAGGGGAGGGCTGGTCATGGAAGCTAACTCGTAAACCTCTATACCTAAGGAATGGAGTAAAAATAAAGCCATTTCATGTAACAAATGGTTTTCAGTTAGAGAAAGGTTGCAATGAGAGGTTATTGGCACAGGGTCTGTGTCTGCATCCTCATCCTTCGAGGCACCGTTGTGTGGCTAGAACAGAAACCCCCAAGGGATCAGGTTCCTGCGCATCCTTCTTTGCCCTGCTACCAGCCCTGCTGAATTTTGGACAACCTATTTTCCCTATTTATGCCCCAACTTTGTAACTCTATGAAACTTCTAGCAGGTTAACAGGCTTTTATGATGGTTACTGTAAGATATCCCATTGCCTAAAGACTCTTTTACAGAAAATACCAAAGAGATAAATGGTGTTGCTGCTGTTTGTCCTAGCTTTCTGCTTCCTTTGAATTATGAAAATGAGCAAACTAAACCTGGATTCCATCGCAGAATTTAGACTTCCAGATTTGATCTTCCTGCCTTACAAGCACACTTAATGATTTTTTTTTTTTATGAATAGGATTGTCTAAGGATGGATCAAATTTCTCCTTTCTAGACCCCAGTTCCCTCATTGTCTTCCATGCGTGTGTAAAGCCTGCACAGTGGGACAGGTTCCTTGTTGCGCTCTCCAGAATTCCACCAGAGAGGAATTAGGCCCGTGAGCTTTTTGTCTCCCCAGTCACTTTATTAAAATCCAGGAATGTGCTAGAAGGGACCGAATAGCAGAAGAGAGGAATGCTGACAAATGTGGGAGTCGTTTCCACTCTGTTCCAGCCACGAGCTGAAGAAGGTGAGCCGGGAGCGCAGGCAACTCGATATCAAACATATGCAGTGATGTATAGAGATACAGATACATACGTGGCTGCTCTTGGAAGCCAGGATGGACCCGAGCATTTGCCTTGGTTGTGACCCTGCCACATCTTGTCAGTGTGACAGAATTTGAGTTGAGCTCTTGGGTGAGTCTTGGTGGCACTGTCCCATGCGTGGCAGCGTCTCAGCTCTGACCACAAGCAGTGCAGAATGTGAATGTCACTTTGTGGACCTTAAATTCAGTGCTTCGTCAGCAGAGCTTCTGTTGAAACAGCCGTGATAAATAAATGGCTATTAGCAGTCCTTTGATTTTTCAAAAATGTATTTAAGTTTTGTTGTGAATATTGTAGTTTTTTATTTTAAGATGCAGAATGTTTTGATATTTCTTGCAAAGTCAAATGAACAAAGCGTTGCTAATCTCCAAAAATTGAAGCCCGCCTAATTGGTGGGAAACTTGTATATATTGTATGTTTTTGTGTTTCCGTGCTCCTGTTTACCCAAAAGGTTCTGGCTGTATGAAAAAGGAGGACTGAAGCTTGGGAGTGGTGCATGTTTCTGACAACAACATTTGAGTTAATGTTGGAATGGGCTGATTTCTTTTAGATGTCCAGATACTGTCCATTTGCTAATAAAAAGATGCAGTTATTTCTTTATTTTCTCTTTTCCTGTGCTCCAGACTGTTTCGCGTTCTGCTATTTGAGTTGGATGGGACAGGGGATGGTTTCTAGCTATTCCAGACCCGACTATACTGAACTTGGCTGGATTAGAAGACCTTTAGCTGGTCTCCAAGAAAACGTGCATGAGCCTCACGGGTCATCTTTGTTTCCACAGGTTCCTGATGAACTGCCCGGCGGGACGTGGCTTCTCCGGTGCTTCCTCGCCTGCCTTCGTTTCAGTTCCTACCACGTCTGCTCACAGACCACGTGCAGAGAGAAGCCCCCTGCCAGCATCGCATGCTCCGTTCTGCAGAGCTCTCCCGAGCGCTGGAATATTTGAGGCCTTGATTTATTTCTATCCGCGCTCTCACAGTTTCGGTACATTTTCCCCTTTTTGTGGAAGGTGAGTTTAGCAGCCATACTCTGGCAGCTCATTTCAGACAGTGTAATACAGTGTGCATTAAAGCTTATGCTATCCGAGGGTGGGCTGCAATTTCATGAATTTGGTGGTGATAGGGCTGTGTTTGCCACAGGAGTTGCTTGTTTCTCCCTTTCCTCATTCCTTAAGACTTCTGTACAGCGTGGCAATAGCCAGGCTCATTCTGTTATTTTTCCTGATTCTGTTTTTTTTTTTTTTTTTCCTAATACTCTATCCTATGTCAGTGGGCCTCACTTTCTTTGCTCTCTTGAATGTCCCAGTGCACTTCTAATGAGAAGAGACCTTTGCAGTTTGTTTCTAAAGAGCCTTTTTGGGGTAATACTTTTATGTTAAGGATATCTGTTCCTTGGAAGACCCGTCTACTTTCCAAGCAGAGCCAGAGCGCTCTCGTGTGATCCCGGAGGCTGCTTCCCATATATGGGATTTTTTGCTTTCTCCACGAAGGCAGCAGCGGTTGGATTGATGTACGTGTGTGCAAACCTGCCCAGACCAAGGAATGCTGCTTCCCCATTAGCAGTATCTGGTTCATCTGGTTTTCTCTCTAGCAACAGCGACAAGTGGAGGCTTCCAAACCAGAGCAACCTCCATCTCCAAGAAGCGCGAGGTGCTACGAGGGCAAACGCGTTTCGCTCAGGACACGGCAGCACAAAACGTGTCTGCAAGGTGAGATGGGGCTGCAAGGAAGCACAGCCGATGCCCTGCGCGCCCAGACACCGCAGCGCTTTGCTGCTGATGTAACGGGCTGGTTTCTTGTCGCCCACGGCCACCGTGAAAACAGGGCAGTTAAATAACAGCCTGTTAAGAGCAAAGGGAGGCTGCGGAGACGCTGGTGTTTTCTTTTTGAGTAGCTTTGAGGGGGAAAAGAAAGGTCTCCCAAACTCGTGGCTGATGCCGCCCGGGGGTGAGGTGAGCAGGGGTAGTTTTTGACTCTTCCCCCTGTTTTCATGCCTGTTTCTTGGTTAGGTACGTGCTCTTGCAGGGACAGGGCTAGGGAATGGCTCCTGCCTGGGGGAAGGGAGCAGGATGAGACCTGTGCTCTGTGTTGGAGCCAAAGCTCCTGCACCAGCTTGAGCCAAAGCTCCGTTTCAGCCCTTGATCTGGAGCCAGACAGTGAAAGGAGGAGTCCCACAGTGTCCAACTGACCCAGCTTGTTGGTGGCAGCGAGTGTAGGAAAATAGGGCCTTTCTAATGGACGTCCTATGTGCAGGGCCGTGCAGGAGAGGTGCCCGGGGGCGGTTTGTGC